CGCATAGTTGTTTTAAATTTCGGAATTTTTAAATTTCAAATAAAACTTATTAAAAACAAAGAACATAAATTAAACAAAATTACAACGTTCATCAAACCGCAACTCACTCACACAAAATCTATTTCTACATATATTTTGCTTTTCAACTACTTTTTCAAAGCAGCTTTGCCGACACAATCTGATATAATTTTTAAATGCAGCGTTACCAACTTAATACTTAAGTTTCGTTAAACTACATTTGACTAAGTCTTGATTGCTTAAAATTAATTTTTTTTTTATGTAATTACTAATTAATTTCCAAAACTATTTTGACTTCATATGCACTTTTACAAAATAAACATTACCTACTTTCTCATATGTATATGTAAATATGTATAGTATGTCTTAAACTCTGCACTTAATTATATTTCATTACACACACTGTCTTATTTTTATTTTATTTTTTTATTTTTTATTAAACTTAAATTTTTTATATTACAGTATGTTTTTCGCTTATCCTTTTTTTTCTTAGTTTTATTTTCTACTTTAGTCTTACTCTACGCTTAATGTTACTGTACAACAGTCGTCCTTTGTTTTTGCCGTTTAAGTTGGTTTGCGTAAATGCACAAATGTGTGTGTGTATATGTTTGTGAAGTTATACATTTTTCAACACGAACGGAAGCTTAACGATTATATGATTGTATTTATGTATATGCGTATATGTGTGTGTAAGTACTTCTGCTACAACATCCTGCTACCTGGAAATGCTCGACAACAGCTTGCATGCAAACAACCATAAGTGCATATGGTTATAAATTTATATAATATAATATTTACATATGAAGCCCGCCTGTTGGCCACGGCGTATGAGTGACGATGCGCTACACTATTTATGGCTGTGTATGTGTGTGTGTGCCGTTTCACATTACAGCCACGGATAATTGTGACCATATTGCACTTCAGCTGCTATAATGGGCTGTTTTTGTCTGTAGTGTTGTTGTTGTTGCTGCTGTAGTTGTTGTTGTTGCTGGTGTTGCTGTTGCTTGAAGCGTTCTCTCGCCAGTTGTGCCACTTCAGTCGCTTGCTGCAATTTATGTTGCTGTCGTTGCTGTTGTTTTTGTAGCTTACGCTGCTGCTGTTGTCCTTGTCCGCCACTTCCGTATCTCATTTGTTGTGACGCTTTATGTTCTATATATCCGTGTTGTTGATTGTGCTTCTGTTTCAATTGTTGTTGTTGTTGCTGATTCTGTTGCTGCTGTTTTTGTTGTGCATTTCCTGTGCGTAATTTATGCTATTTTCGTCGCTTGTGCGTCGGCAATAAAACTGTGCCGTTGGCATAAAAGTAACCTCACAATTTCGATGGATCGTAATTTTCGAGCTTCCATTGTTGTCGCAATTGATTCGAATCACACTCCTCCATGACCACTTTGTCCTTCTTCTCCGATATGGCCAGACACTTGTCTGATGAACCGTGTCGTATTTGACGCATSTGCTGATTATACTTCCAGAACTGCAAGGTGGGAGAGACGGTGGCGAGCGGCAGAGCGATTGAGCGGTGTTGAGAATGACACGGTTAAATGTAAAGTACAAAAAAGGTGTTAAAATTCATTCAAATATATGCTATAAAATAAGCTAAGCTAGTAAAAGCAAAATTAATTTTCGCTTTTATCGATTTTATGGTTGTCCATCACACTATTTGAATTTTTTTTGTTTTTTTTTTTTTGGTTTTTTACATGTGGAAGTGGTAAAAAAAAAAAAAAAATAAACAACAGTTTTTTCGCTATTCTTTATGTTCAGGAACTGGTCTAATACCTATATCCATACAATAAGCCGTTCAAAAATGTTGGCAGAAACTGCTGAACAATTGTTTCATAGTAGCGCTTTAACTTACAGCGAAATAATTGTTGCCTACTTTGAGTGGCAAGTGAATGTGATTTCAAGTGCAAATCTTTAAGTTTATAGTATATACTTGAGATAAAAGCGCTTTACCTCAATATTGTACTCAAAACTCATTGTATTAGTATAAACAAGATTGCAGAGACTCTCAGTATAACTTTTGCTGAGACGACTCAACTTCAGCTTGATGTCTTAAGTACAAAGGATTTCTTTCGCAAAAAAGGTTATTGAATACACACGAAGAAAATTAAATCAAAATTTCATTTTATTGTTTCACATTTCATTTGTGGACTAAAAAACATTGCGCTCTGAGGAGATCGCTACGTGCCGATAGAGCTCGTAATATTCATGAAGATCAAGGGACTAAAAGATCTAGTTTAAGTATTTGAATTTAAATAAGACTGCCTCAAAACAAAGTATTTTGAAGAATTTTGTATAGATTTTAACCACTTTTTAATAGCTCTTTAAGTTGAGACCACTGACTCGGAATTTGCTGAAGAGAAATGTCGAAAGAACGAGGAAAATATGGCGTCGTTTGCTGTCTCTATTGGACTACTTTTGTGGCGTCCTTATTGTAAAACCAGTTACTTGTTGTATTAGCTTATAAAGCGTTGTCCACAATCGTACTTTCTAAAGAAGAGTTTAAAATTAAAAAAAAAAATTTTAATAAAGAGCAAACTAGCCCTTGTAAAGTGGCCTAGTCTTAAAACTAAACTAAATTTTGAATATTTTTGTCAACAAACAGCATAAGATTGGTACCTAATAATCGAAAAGAAATACTTCAAAAGGCGTAAGTCTACAAAGAGCATCAGTGGAGCTCTTAGAATAATGCAAAGTCAGGCACTCATCGTAATTTTATGTTTACTGCCCACATATGTATTTGCTCTGTAAGAAACTGGTAGAGAAGTCAGCTCTTAAGCTAAAGGAAACCTCACTATTATTCGTCTGTAATAAGGGACATTCGATGATGCTTAGTAAGTACGCACATCGAAGCAATAAAAAAAAGTGACTTCCCTTTCAGAAAGGCGAGGAAAAAAGTTCGGTCTATAAAATTGACTTCGCTTCCAGGGTGGAGTGGAAAAGGGCTTCGGTGGACAGGGACCAAGGGTTAAGTATCTATGTATATGCAAAGGTAAAAACTAGTTAATCKAGTGGCAGGTGGTGTCTTTGTTTCAAAATTAGTTACCAATATCGCTTACCGACCACTAGCCAATTGCATGGTCTTCTAAGCGAATTCTACAGCAATTAAAGAAATCTTTCCTGCTACGACAACAAGAAATACGTCCTAGATACAAATAACCAAGCGACTTTAAAACCGCTAAAATTTGTCATGATTGATCTCTTGGTGGATCTAACATCCTATTTCACGATAAACCTGCACTGGATTCGAAAACATAGTGATATGGTTGGCAACTGCGAGGCAGATAAACTAGCCAGTGCAGGCGATACTCTATACTAGACTCCGAAAAAGAGGAAATTTATATGCCTCTGGCGACTTGTAGAWATTTGGTCAAAAAATAACTTATATATACAGCTGGGTCACGGTTTAGTCCATCCACATCACAAGTAGACTGGACGCACAATACAATGACTTTTGTAGAAGAAGGAGGTAGAAAATGAATGAGAAGGAGAAGAAGATGTTCTTCATCTACACGAATGCAAGGGTTTGTATAGGAAAATATTTTTTTTTTAAATCTCAGAATTGAAAAAAAAAAAAAATCCAGGTATATTTCGCTAACGCAGAACCGCCTATTGTGTTGGGAATTGTTAGGAAAAGGATCACACCTATCCGACGATGATTCCTCGGAGGTGACGCAAATAAAACTTGTAGTACTGATGAACTTCATCAGCTAAACAGGTTGATACAGTGAGCTGATAATAGAGCGAGGGAACTTTAGTCCGGTTGGTTTGGAAATTGAATCGAAAGTGTTATATGCGTCGTCAGACAACCCCTCCAGCAATGGTAAAACCTGACCAGCTGTAAAAAATATGTCCAAAATGTTTAATTAAGCTGTAAAATTATATGCTAAGTAAAAAAAGAACAATATTAAGCTCCATATAAAAATACTAAAAWTATATTATGTGTATCGATCTAAATMTTTTAGGCATCAGATGGCTGCCATTAAGAAAACGGCCCMTAAAATAGATTTGAAGAAAGAGTTTGGGATTTGAATTTGGTAGYAMTAAGTTTCTTSAAGATCCYCTTGCCTTTMAAAGGGCATCAGATGGCTSCTAATGAGATATTGARAAAACGACTCATAATTGTGGAGAAAGTATAATGTTTCAATTTAGTAGACCTAAGTTTCTTGCAGATCATGCTTCCTAAAATATGCTTCAAAACTCTTTCCTTTTAATAGACGACTTTTCAGGAATTTTTTTTCATACTTCAAAAAAAACAAAAAAAAAACAAAAATTTGTGCTTTTACTGTATGGATTCCTGACCACAGGTTGAATTTTTAAAATATCTATATTTTCTCTCATAACCATATCAATTTTAATATCTTAAAGAAATTTAAAAAAAATGTGGGTATTTTTTCTGGAAGCCTTAAAAAACTCTCCAAAACCATTCTACAATTTTTCTGATTTCATTGCTCCAAAACGATTCTGTTTACCAAATTATGCAATCAATCAAGCCAGATGACAGTAAAATAAACCTATACATTCAAACACATATCATTTTCAAGTTTATGTGCTTTACCCCCACACACTCTTCTGACCAAACGTTCGCGGCGTTTCATAAACCATTTGAGGCTTACCTGATTTCCTTTCGAGCCGTGACATGGATACAGAACCACATCGTTGCCAGCATAATCGAGACAGGCCTCATCGCGTCGTATTTCACCGCCTTTGCTCAGCATCCAATACTGCGGCRCGTTGCATGCACATAACGGTGTTTACATGCGTGTGTGTTGCGAACATTAGCGCGTGTGCGTGTATTTGGTTTTGTCATGTGGCGACCACGGAGCATACGTTGGTYGGGGTTTAGTTGATTGTTCGGTTATATAACGGCATAAATACACAGCGATACAGCAGCACGCACGAGTAACGATGTCGTAACGGTACCCATTCAATATTAATGTGAGGCGCAGTGCAACGGTGGCAAATGCAGTTGTGTTGACCGTGTGTGTGTGTTCCCGGCACATCCCAAGGGGCAAAGTTGTTGTAAAATAAAATATTGAATTTATTTCGTTAGTGGAGTTGTAATACAAATGAAAAACAGAAAGCTGCAAAAAAAAAAAAAAAAAAAAAAAAAAAAAAAAAAAAAAAAAAAAAAAAAAAAAAAAAAAAAAAAAAAAAAAAAAAAAAAAAAAAAAAATGGCGCAAACGGAATGCGTGCGTGAAATAATAAAAATAGCGAAAACGGAAGAGAAACGAAATAAAAAATGAATTAAAGCAAAATTATTTATGTACGAGAAATGAGCAAAMACAAAAAAGCGAAATAAAAAATGGCAAATGGAAAAACCGTGAAATGCATGAATGATAAATAAGAAAAATAATATATGGCCAAAGGCGATTATGGTTATGGTATTGTTTGCGTGTAAGTGTGTTGATGGTGARTGTATGTGTACTTAATTTTTTCTTCCAGCGAAGCCGTTTAGCAGTGAAGAAAAATACTGATTCTTAATTTTAATGATTGTTGACTTAAATCGAGTAAATAAGGAATATGCGCATATAGCAACTAAGATAATTAATTTAATGCAGCAAATTTTTAGAAAAGAGCGAATTTGGTATAAAAACTGGTATATATAGCATAACTGATATATTCAAAGGTAACTAAATACTGAGATGCTTTTAACAAACACTAAGTTTGGAGAGTACTGAGTCAAAAAATAGTTGGTATAAATCACCTAAACTGGTATAATTAAAAAGAAATAGTTTCGTGGACGGCTATATCAAACTCTGAACTGTGAATAGTAGCGAGTTGGAAGGCAATTTATGTAAATCACATAAACTGGTATAATTAAATTTTAGCGGATTCCGATTTGAAATGCAACTGGTATAAATCTCATAAACGATTGTRAAATAGAACTCGATTCGTGGTCGTCTAACCAATAGTTGAATGTGGAGAGTGGTGATTTCATGCCACAACCGGTATAAATTTCATAAATGGGGTGAAATCAAATAGAACTAGTTACACAGTCACCAACACCTGTCGCTAAACTTCGAAGACTGGCGACTAGAATAGCCACTATTATAAAACACATAAACTAGTATAATAAAGTACAGTTCGATTTTCTAAGAGCTCTAACACTCTGAAACTCACTAACTTTAGGGAAGAGCGACTCGAACAACAATTCGTATA